TTCTGTATATCCTCCGCTGCTTGGTGGACATCTTACGGATCGGCCGTTGTCCCTTGGTGCATCTCGTAGTGAGATTAGGTTTAGTGACTTTGTGAACGGGTGGCACGTCTTAGGACTGTTGGCGTCGCCCCCGGATCCGTTATATTCTTGGTGAAAATTTTGTGAACGAGAGACCCGTCTTAGGTTGTTGGCGTGGTCCTCGCTTCCGTTATATATTAATGTTTAGTTGTAGCGTAACCCGGCCTATTCCGAATTGGGTAGATTTATTTAGTGACAAAGAGAGTGCGTTGCACTCGTGGTATTCCCGCGAGGGATACCTGGCGCCCAACCCGTGTTTTCGTGTTGGTGAAAGGAGGTAGAGAGAGAGGACCATTGCGGGTCGTTTTTGCTGACGTAAGATCCCCCTTATCGGTTTTTGTTTTGTTATCGTCGCAAAATTTGGCGCCCAACGTGGGGCCAAGAGTGAGATCGAAAATATCTGGGGTCTATTGTCGCAAAATTTGGCGCCCAACGTGGGGCCCGAGGTGAGATCGACAATATCGGATTTTACGTCGCAATATATTGTAACAAAAATGTTACAATGAACTCCTCCTCGTCACCTGGCTCGAGGGAACCACTGGCCCCGAGCACGAGAATTGCGTACTGTATTGCGAATTACCGTTTATTGCGTTTATTTAGTATTTTAGGTCTGTTGTATTTAGAGTTAAGACCCCCTCCCTAAGCCCTTCCCTCCTAAGCGAAACGCCGTAAATCGCTGTATGCCTTCGAATACCTTATTCTATGTGATTTCTAAGCCTAGGGTCTAATATCATATGTCCGATTAATGTTCGTGGATTCGTTCCGCATTGTTAACCCCCGTAGGGCACTGGCTCGAGGACCATCTTCGAGGACCAACAACAAGCCCCAGCAACGAGGACACCGTCGTGGACCCGCCACGAGGACAAAACTTCCCTGGATGGACCGCGAGAGCGGCTACGTCGCCGAGGCAGCGGAAGGCAGGGATGGCATGGGCAGGAAACACAGCTGATCGAGTCGCCCGTGGGATGGATGCCCAGCCACCACCATCACCACCAATATATGCAGCCCCGGTGCAGTCCCGTCACACGGGCAAAGTCCCGTGTGACAGCGGCGGAGCCCCCTCCCACCGAGACCGCAGACGTGCCCGGGAGGATTCTGACAGGCTTGGAGGCCGCCATATTGACCGGCGCGCGCAGCCAGCACGCGTGCCGGTGAAGCCAGCGCCGTGCCGCCGCCACAAGGCCCTAGAAGGCCCAGCAGTTCACCAGATACGAAATAATCTCTGTAAATTAACTTCACTTTGGTTTATATAGAATCTTTTCCTTGGGTTTGTCAATTTAGTGTAAGACTTTTGTTAATTCGGTTTGTTTTGCTTTGCACCGCTCTTGTCTTTCGCATTTTTCTGCCGCATGGTTTTGGCTTATGTAAATGTTACCGGCGCGCGCAGCCAGCACGCGTGCCGGTGAAGCCAGCGCCGTGCCGCCGCCACAAGGCCCTAGAAGGCCCAGCAGTTCACCAGATACGAAATGGACCAATGCCCTGCCATGCCGGAACTGCCGACCAATGCCAAAGCACGTAGCCCTCTCAACTGAGCAGACCCACATATCCCTGAGACCCTGGAGGCCAACCAAAGGAAACAGCGAGGACCGGAAATCGGCAAGAGACCGTCACTTCGAGCCAGGGTTCTGTAGCGTTGAGTGCGAGTTGAGTGAGAGTGGAATAATTGCGAATATTGGATTACAGTGTTGCGAACTATTGCGTGAGTACTATTTTGCGTGCTTGAGTTTTCCTTCTCTCCCTTCCCTACACGAGGACAAAACTTCCCTGGATGGACCGCGAGAGCGGCTACGTCGCCGAGGCAGCGGAAGGCAGGGATGGCATGGGCAGGAAACACAGCTGATCGAGTCGCCCGTGGGATGGATGCCCAGCCACCACCATCACCACCAATATATGCAGCCCCGGTGCAGTCCCGTCACACGGGCAAAGTCCCGTGTGACAGCGGCGGAGCCCCCTCCCACCGAGACCGCAGACGTGCCCGGGAGGATTCTGACAGGCTTGGAGGCCGCCATATTGACCGGCGCGCGCAGCCAGCACGCGTGCCGGTGAAGCCAGCGCCGTGCCGCCGCCACAAGGCCCTAGAAGGCCCAGCAGTTCACCAGATACGAAATGGACCAATGCCCTGCCATGCCGGAACTGCCGACCAATGCCAAAGCACGTAGCCCTCTCAACTGAGCAGACCCACATATCCCTGAGACCCTGGAGGCCAACCAAAGGAAACAGCGAGGACCGGAAATCGGCAAGAGACCGTCACTTCGAGCCAGGGTTCTGTAGCGTTGAGTGCGAGTTGAGTGAGAGTGGAATAATTGCGAATATTGGATTACAGTGTTGCGAACTATTGCGTGAGTACTATTTTGCGTGCTTGAGTTTTCCTTCTCTCCCTTCCCTACCCCCCTTTTTGCTTTAGAGTTTGAGAAATAGTAGATCTCCCTTTTTGGATATTACGAGCCGTCCCCACGTGGACCGGCCCTTTTGCGTTAGAAGATCTTTTTGAGTGTTAGCTTGGCCTTCCGCCAACCGCGTGCGGCCAGTGGTATCTTGCGTGCGTTCTAGAGTAGTTTGCGCCCTTTTTGAGAAACCCTCCGTACCCTCCTTTTTCCACCACCTGCCCTCCCCGCATACCGTAACCGAGGTAATTTATAAAGTAGCCATTTTGCGTTCGGGAACCTTCCTCCCTGAGACCCCCTCACCTCTTCCCCTGCTAGGCGTGACATTTCACGTTTGAGTAAATATTCAAGGACCTTCTGAGGTCACTCGACGGTACTACGCCGAACAAGTAGCTGGCGCCCATTTGTTGTTTTCTCCCTCCTGTCCCTCCTGCCCCCTTGCCAATACCTTGCTCCCCCGTTCCCTGATTCCCCTCGCCCACTAGACCGTTTAAAGGTCCGTCACGACACCGCGTGCTCCTGCGTGAGCCCGTGTGTTATTGCTTAGTTTTGCGTGTTTGGAGCGATATAGTTTTCTAGTGTATTAAGTTCTGATTTCTGTTCTTTTCTATTCTACCACGTGTTCCTTTCTTTCTGTTCGAGATCCCTCGGCCCCGTATTTGAGATAGCTGTTCTTGTGAGACCCTGGGCCATTTTCGTGGTCCAACACGTCACAATATATATATATATTGTGACGTATTTTTACGTGATCGACCTCACCGGAAAATGCAAGACCGACCGGCGCACAACTTTACGCGATTCCTACGCGTTCCAGGCAACCCAGGGGCTAACAAATTTTTACTCTCGAAATACCTAAGGTATTGTTGGGCGCCAGGTTCCAAAACGGGAACCACGTATCAGTTCCTACGATATGTCTTCGCGTGCCTACGTTGGCTAATTCAGCTACGCGGAAGCGGCGGGATTCGGAACAATAGGTCGGATGGGTCAGACGATCACGCGACACACAAAATTATTCGGACACTTCGATCTCAAGAAAATGGTTCGGTTTATTAAAGAAAATCGGCAGCGCGAAGCGCGACGATTTCGGACAATACCGAATCGATGAATTACAGAAAAAAAAAAATAGTAATTAATATAGATCGAAAAGACAAAACGAAATACAATCA